CATGACTTGCACTCATCATTGGACGCCGGCATTCAAACTGACGCTATATTCCTTGATTTTTCAAAAGCATTTGATCGTGTCCCTCACCATCGGCTCTTACTAAAACTTAGGCAGCTTAATATTCACCCACTTGTTCTCGCCTGGCTACAAGCCTTTCTTTCCAGTAGAAAACAATTCACGTCTGTCAATAACTTTAACTCTCTTTTTGTTGAAGTCTCATCTGGAGTTCACCAAGGAAGTGTGATTCGTCCCTTGCTTTTCCTTATTTATATTAACGACTTACCCTCCTCAGTCATTCTAAAGTTAGGCTTTTCGCTGACGATTGTGTCATTTACCGTACCATTTCATCTGAAACTGATCGACAATCTCTACAATCTGATCTTGTCTCTTTAACTTCGTGGTGCACAGCATGGCAAATGACACTAAATCCTTCAAAGACTAAGCTAATGTGTTTTACTAAAAAAGCGTCCCGTATTCCAACGTCTTACTTACTAAATAATACTTCAGTGGAGCTTACGACTTCTTATAAATACCTTGGGGTTAACATTCAGTTTGACCTGTCATGGCATCACCACATTAACGTCACCCTTGCTTCAGCAAATCGCTCACTCGGGTTCCTTAAACGTAATTTGAAACACACCCCCTCGCACTTGCGTAAACTGGCTTATATCACCCTAATCCGTCCTAAAATAGAATATGCCTCAGCCATTTGGGATCCCGATCAAGACTACATTATTAAAAACATCGAAGCCCTGTAGAACCGTGCTGTACGTTTTATTTTTTCTGATTATTCACGTCACACCAGCGTCACTTCATTGAAACTTCGTGCCGAACTAGAACTCTTATCACGTCGCTGTAAAATTGCTCGCTTATCACTACTTCATAAGCTCTACCATCACGCATCACTTCACGAGGACTTCTTTAGGCCACCCCCTGCCATCCTACCGCGCCGCGATCATCCCTTTAAAATTGAACGCTTCCCTTGTCGCACTTTTCATTATGCTAGATCCTTCATACCGCGCACAATAACCGAGTGGAATGACTTACCTTCAAACATTGCAACCGTCACTGATATCACTGAATTTCAGAACCTACTAAACATGAGTACAAGCGTGTGAACCTTTTGCGGCATTTCCCCCCTCTTTTTTCTTTTTTCTGCAAACCGTGTTTTTTGTAGAAACTGCGTATGTTCATGGTTCGTGTTATTTATTGCTGTGTTTGCCTAATTCAGTTATTCACACGTGTTTTTGGTGATGTTGTCATTCCTTTATGTTTAATGGCGCGTGTGTTTGTAGTAAGCTAGATTGCGTTTTATTGTACTCTTGTGACTCTATTTCCTTCTTTGTGTAGTTCAATTTTAAAATATTTTTTTAGTTTTATTATTGTTTGACTCATATTATTTCTTCTGATTATTTAAGATTATGCAGTAAGAATATTGACCTTATATTTATTCTAATGTATTTAGTAGCTGTATGGTGTTTAGTTTGCGTGTTTTCTGGTTCTATTGATCATTTCATGTACCTGTATGTATTATAGCCCCCCCCCCCCCCCCTATGTAATACCCTCCTGTGAGAGGGCCCTTAGGGGTATTATAAATAAATAAATAAAAAATATATATATATCGGTGAAATTATCCGCGGGTCCGGCCTTCATCAGAAGGAAGGCCGGACCCGCGGCCGAATTCTCAATTAAATTACTTCGTGCGTGCATCTACTTCACTGAGTTATGGCCTAAGTCTAGCCTTTATCCGGTGAAGGCCACAGAAAACAAGAACTTCCGACGCTAGAGAATTATGTCAGAACTTTCGTTACGTGTCCCTGATGCCATGCAGTTCTAGCTTTGAACGGCCATATGCAACCTGTCTTTGTGCCGAAAAAAAAAAACACATAACGAATTCTTACCAATGTTCTGCAGTCTTGTCTTGCTCTTTTGCTGTGCTTTAGCAAAGCATATTCCCAATCAGCATGAATCCACATTTACTACAGCTTGGTGCAGTATGTTTACAGGACTTATACTGAAACGGTGCGATGTTTTCAGGCCGTCTATGAGCACCTTCCAAGGCAAAGGGCAATGACTGAAGAAGTGGAAGACGAGGTCCGGGAGCTTTTGAAACTTAGGCAAACAAGAAGCTTGTGAAACAAAAGGTTCAAGAGAAGACGGGCAAGGCTGTCTTGCTAAAGGACTTGAGCAATCTTGCAAGCTCTCTTAAGCCAGCAACCACAAATGACCTCCAGCGAACTGTAGACATGCTTTAAAAAGAATACGGTATGTATCAATGCACGCTCTAATAATTTGGTATTGTCACACGTCCTAAGGCACAGGGCAAGATTTTGCAAACAGCAGGCAAGATTGATATGATCTGATTACAGTGCATGTCATGCCCTTATTGCGAGCTGTTACCATCGGTAAACCTAGACATAATGAACTTTCACATAACGAAATTCTCTATACAAGGAATGCAAATGTCCCACGTACATTGACCATGTGTATCTTAACCAAGTTATAACGAAGCATTTACTTTTTATCCCTAACTTCAATGCAACAGAGCTTTGGTGGTACTACACAGGATGACCATGGCGATTGATTGAAACCTCTTTTGGGTCCAGAGGAAATATAATTCATTCAGGTTGTCGCTTTCCTTTTATGCGGTTTTAAGCTTCAGCTCCTTCCGTTTTCTGGCGTGCGACAGCTGAAGGTTCATTAAAGAAAGTGGTTTGAATACGTGAACAGGCATAGCATCGGCGTCACACTACCTCATGCAACAGCAGAAGGTTTTATTACCAGCCGCGGTGGCAGTACAGGCTCGATAGCGTAGCTGATTTCACACTATCGCAGTGCTTTGGCCTACATTGACAAGTGACCATGTCGAGGGGCGCACGCACACCGGATCACAGCTTGTCGTTCGGCAATTTTGGGTTGTTTTCCTTTTTTCTCTTCCGGCAACCTGAACTTGGGGGGTCGACCTATATTCCCACTCGACCTATAGCCCGGTTTAACGGTACTTATTGGAGCTTAGATCGGCACACATGTTCGCTCAACGACATTGAGCAAAATAAAAATAGACAATTTGGTGCTTTTAAAAGAAGATAATGTGAAATGACGCATGTGGAAGATCCCCTAAAAGAAACTTCAAAGAAACTTCCAAGGACCGAGACAAAAGAGTGTGGGTGTGTAGATTGAAACCAACAGAACGAATTGAATTTACCAATACAGCTGCTTTATCCTCTAGAAGCCAACGAACAATGAGCTAGAGAGTTCTCTCACAGAGAGAGGTTGTATGTATCACGAAATGGGAAGCAAATACCACTAAGAAGAAACGTTGCATAAAATACCCGCGGCGAAAAGGCCGAAAAGGGGCAACTTGGGGAGGACGCGTTTACGGGGTGCAACCACAATGGCTCGCTATTCAAAGGCAACGAGTGGTCCACGTGGCGGACCATACGGGAAGAGTGGAGAGTGTCCTTGACGCCGTCACTTTTATGAACTACAGGACCAATTGAAGCAAACTGAAAGCTGCAGGGGCTGACAGCCAACACAGGCACAGCGTTTTCTCCCTCTGTTTGTCAAAGGTTCGCACGTGTTCTTTTGAATGTAGTAGTGCTTCTCTGTTTTTTATTTTCTTTTCCCTTCCCTCTCTATGATGGTGCTGCACATAGTGTGGAGACAAACCAGTCTTTGTGATGCATTCAAACTGAAAAGACGTGTTGACTCTCTGTCGTAGTCTCATTAAAAAAAGGTGTTGCCTCGCTGCTTTTCTGCCACAACAATCAGGACACTGAGCGTTCTGTTACTACTGGTTCCCCAATGATGAAAATTTTATGGAACACTAAGTAAACGACCCTCTAGCGCTGCTACCATGCGGGTCGTTCACTACCCGCAGCCACCCGATATGCAGAAGCAGCATGCGATGCTCCGGTGTTCAGTAAAATGTAAAGTTTCTTGTCCAAGATAACTTATAAGTTGCTAGTGGAGCTAAATTGCTATAAGGCTAATACAGGAGCCGTTTAGACTCAATTTGTCTGCTCATGGGCCCCTAAGATATCCTTGACAGAATCCCTGGGTTTCGTGGAATCCAGTTTGAGAACCTATATGCCTGAAGACGAACCTATACAAACTTGCTGAGCTTTCAATGCTTCCTACACAACCTAAAACATTTACCCAATATTACAAGAATAAACAACTTAGGATAGAAGTGCAAATTGAAAGGCTCATTTTTTTCTTAGACACAATAATAATGAGAACACAACGTCTTTGTTAGTTGTCGTTAACCCTCTATTGCATGTCGTCCCATATTTGGCACATACCATTTACCTTTTTTTGTGGGTGTGGGCAGCCCACTTGAGAATATGATACTGTCGGAGTAATTCTCATAGTTTAGGGCATTTAAGATGGGCAAGTGATTCCATATCTCTTGAACGATAAGCAAAACATAGGCGAGAGCATTTTGGGATTTACCGTGCAACTCTGAAGGGGCAAACACGAGAAATCGACATTTTTTTCTATGAACCTTTTCCCTCACAAGCATAGAAAATATATTTTGGCATATTTTATGATCTCACAAATTCAAGCCTATATTAGTTCTCAGCAGTTCCATTGCAAGTACACCGAAAAACCTAAAATTAATGTGTGCCATGAGCAAACCTCCGAGACTGCCAAGTGATTATCAAACTCAAGGGCATATTGTGAGCCACACGACGGACGTAACCTTAGCAGCTAATCATCGTTACGGCTGGACGTAGCTTTCACCTTTCGCAAAAGCTACGTCTAGACGTAACGATAGAAGCCATTGTAGTTACGTCGAGACGAAAAAATAAGACATGTTAGAGTTACGTCCGGCGTGACAACAATACGAAATTGGCTTGTTAAATCCACCAAACCAAGCAGCAGCAGTGGCGTAGCGAGCTAACACAGCACGTGTAAGACGGTAAGGTCATTGGTACAAACCCTACTATAAACTTTTTTTTTATTTATTCTCTTTTAGTGCAAGTATTTTTTCAATGTTTTTTTTGGCACAGTATGAACTCGAAAGACAAAATTGGTATCGTGGTGCCATCTGTCCAGTAAAACGCAAAACAAATATATGTAATGCGATGCCTTCGGCCTTCGGTAATTTAATTTCCTCCATGACTGGAGCTCAGCACTACAAACTAGCATTTACCATGTTCCATATAGTAGGAAATTGCACGGGAGGGGATATAGGTGTTATGTGGTAAAGGTGTAACACAGAAGCGCAATGAATGCATCCACTTTATCGCAGGTCACTATCGCAAGATGGAATTTTGTCGCTCAAAATGGTGAGGGGGAATCGTCTACCAAACTGCAACCTGAAAAGCAAAAAGGAACTGAAATGTAAAGGGCGTGGTGCTTCAGAGGAATTCACAACCGTGATAAATGATATAGAATTATTGTGTGTGCGTTGGTGCAATAACCGCGCGTTGACATTTTTGTCGAGCTTTGTTGGGAGGGCTCCAGTCCAAAAGGCTAAGCGCTGGTTTACCTTAGCCAAGGAGTTTGATTAGGATCATTGCCCTAGCGTATTATACCCGTGACACACGGGCAAAAGTAAAGTACTTTGAAGTAAACCCCTTTTGTCGCCTAGGGGGACCATTTGCAGAAAGGAGTGGCGCTGATGACACACGGCACCGGACTACTGCTTTAGGTGGTGCCTCAGAAGAACGCTGCAGAAAAAATGGCGCTGTTTGTGGAAGCAGCAAGATTGGAAATATTAAAAAGAATCTGCACATGTACATCACATTCAGCGACGCCGGAGCACAAAACCGTTTTTTTTATTGTCTGGTGGCTTATAATGCGCATACCTGTAATTTTCTTTTGCTTTTTTGCGTTTTTAGCAGCAACTTAAGTTCGTCGGGCAACTATGAACAGTCGGTGTTTTGCTGTTGTTGTTTTTTGTCGTGCTTTTTACATGGCTGCGTCCAGCTGGGTCAGTGACGGCATGCCGCGTTTCATCGTGGTCCTGCGATGTCTCAGGGCAGAGACAGAGATAAAGCGACAGTTGAGGTGGGCCTGACTCTTGTCGCCCTCGGCTCCATCGAAGATGAGCTGAACGCTGCGAAGGCAAGAGTGATGAGCCTCAAACAAAGACTCGTCATGAACAGCTTCATTTTGACTGCTTCCGCACTGTCCCCCCGAGCCATCAACCGCGAAAGGTGGGCCTATGTGCGCAATGATTGCTGGTTCGAAGACACATTGCCGTTATTAGGCGACGGCCACTTTAAGCAGTGTTTTCGAGTGAACCCAGCCGCCTTCCGTTTCATTGCGGACAGCCTACGCCCTTCGCTAGAGAGGGTCTCAACTATTATATAAGCACGAGTGCATTGCGGTTGAAAATGTCGCCGACACAGCAACTGCCGCTGCCAACCCTAACGTGATCGCGCTAGTGACGTAATTCAGGCGTTTGAGAGTATGGACAGACTATAGGCCTTCACTTTTCCACAAATCGCACTGCTGCTGAAAATGAAAACATTTTCTCAGCGCAAAAAATACTGACAGGGCACCGCAGTGTTGCGACACGTTTTCTTCTATTGATAAATTATGCACACTGTATGCGAGAGTACTCCCTTCCTGCCAGAAAAGTAGATGTGGGATCTGCTTTTGCGAAAGGGTCTTTGCCGTTAAGGAGTTACTCCTTTGTCGTGTGTCACTGCGCCCGAACGCCTTTCCGAAAGATGTCCCCTTGTCTAAAGGACTTCGGGGTGCCCGTGTGTCAGGGGCATTAAACGTTCACAACCCACACATGGGCAGAGTCGACCTGATGGACTCACTGCTTGGACTTTAATCCATGCATATCAGGTCCAAGAAGTGGCCTTTAGGAGTTTTCAGGCATATGCTGAACTTATCGGTAGTAGCAGCATGGCTACTGTACAGGAGGGTGAAAGAGCAGATTCGGAAGACAAAAGTACTACCGCTGGCTCAAATGAAACAGAAATTGCAGAATGACTTATCTCTCACAACAAGTGCCTACCCAAAAAGCGACCAGGAAGGCCTTCTAGAGAAGGCATCGAATTTCAGGTTCAAGTAAAAAAACTACAGGGACCGGCTGCACTAATGCCCTCCAATGACGTCCAATCTGACCAAACCAGTCACTGGCAAGAATTTGATGAAAAGTGACAAAGACATAAGCGGCCATCTTGCAGAAAAAAGTCGTTGGTAAGAAGCAGGAAGCGCAACAATTACCTGTGCCTGAACGTAACAAACAACTGTTTCATTTCATTTCACACATTGGGCTACAAATACCACCTTCAACAGTTCTATGTTATTTGCCCAAGGCAGCAAGACTGCTCCACCATCTTCATGGTGAGTCATATTTGGCACAAAGCTGTATTTTTATTACTACAGCCATTATAAATATGAAACCTTTAGTACACGTTTAGATTCATTGAATTATTATTAAAAGCTGAAAGAATAACTTTTGAAATGACTTATTCATAATTCACGCAATATGGAGGTATGAAACAATGTAGTGACATAGACATGCATATTCGATTGCATAATGTCTATCACATGCTACATCGGCACTATGGTGATCACTGAGTAGCAAGACTCGCGGCATTGACGATCAGTACTCATTACAGCATTTTTTTTTTGTTATTTGCAGAGACAACGTGGCCTCGCCTAGCACCATTAAATTTTGTTGCACGTGTGGAGCAAAACGAGAAGTGTTCAAAACTGCATCAGTAGACTGTTCCTGAGTGATCCCGACACTGGTTTTCTAAGGCAACTTTTACATTGTCATTTGAGCACATTGACAAGTTTGTCCAGCCTGTGGTAGCAGCACGACTCGTACTCTATCTATGCTCGTTGGCAGCAGCACGAAATCGGTATCGTGATCAAAAGCCGTAACAACGCACGTGAGTGCCACCACGCTGCACCACCTGTGCGAAACACTTGCGCTTAGGCATACAAGTACAATAACTAAATACAACAGCCTCCCCAACACAATGTACATGTAATGTTCACACGTCAGCAGCATGATTACCAAGTGAAACTCCTGTTTTCTTTTTCAAGCATATTCGGTCGAGCACTTTCACCTTTTCTAATACTCGTAAGAATCCTCCTAAAAGTAAAAATCCATGCTTGTGACTTAAGTTAGAAATCGTTATACAAATATCATATCGTAGAATTACATCAATCAGGTGCCTATATTTTGTCAGGACAAGAAGTAAAAACGAATATATTCCCTCAAAGATTGCGTGCAGCATTGTAGAACCTCGTGCAGCAGATCTCAACCACGAGCTACTTTCAAGGTGGCGTGCGAGACACACTTGGACAAACTGGTAGAAAATTGACAGTTTTGGTCAAGTTAGGAGTTAGCGATTCATAAGTGCGTCAACAATTAAGAGAAGCGAGAATTAGCATTTGGGGTTAACATTAACAATGCAAAAAGTCCTGCGAAGAGACATTCCGGCTTCATATTGTCACAGATAAACAAAATGTACTGTTATTTTGACATCACATAAGATGCCATCACGTGGTGACATCGTCACACGACAGTACCAAATAACGAAAAGTGTGCCCATGGTAAAACAAGTGCCACCCCGAGCTTTCGATAAGGTGCTAGTATTGACTGAGAATTGACTGAAAATAAAAAGATCACAAGTTTTCCAACACAGTCAGAATCAGTTCTACTCTCGGACATCTCCCAAGTCGTAGCGCCGAGTTGGACTTTCTGTGGCCGAGAAACTGCCACAGATACAAAAATGACTAGTGTGAGGACCCTGTTTACCACATGCACTGCACTGGCACAAAAATGTAGAGGCAAGCTGATCTGCAGCAATTTCGAAAAGTTTACAAGACTATCGGGTAAACAACTTTCTCGATGTGTATAGGAACAGAACAATAAACTTTGGCTCAACGCTACCTTTATGACGCTTGACCCAGCTAGATGCTGATTGTAGCAAAATGGTACAGTTTCAGCAACACTGTACCTGGGTCGATGCCAAGCCACCGGATGTCACTGACAGGAAAAGTGCAGCCTCGTGCAGAGCCGTCTGTGTAGCACTGGGCGGTGTCGTCCGTCTGAGTCGCCTGGAAAGACAGCCACAGGAGGTATGTTTTCAATTAAACGTGGCCTGCCTTTGATAACTCAATAAAGAGACCGACAACTGCCCATAGCATGAAATGAGATGACTCTACTGATTGAAAGATAGTCCTTCCCGATGACTCAAACCTACCCTACTTTTTTCAAGAGAGGGGATTTATAGTATTTTAAATGTGAAGCATTTCTTTGCGAACTGCAGGCACTTTCAACATCTATCCCTCTACCTATCTGTCCGTCTGCCCGTCCGTCCGTCTCTCCCTCCATTGGAGCCTGTTTACTAGCCCTTAAAAAGCTCAAAATAGAGGTGGCTGGAACTTCTACAAAAGCAGAATGAAAACAGCTTCCAAGAATTGCAAGAACTAGCATAGGAAGGGTGAACTTTGTGTCATGCCGAAAAAAAAAAAAATGAGTCGAGATCAATCAGCTATCTGTACCTTCAACAACAACCCTCAGTTAATTCGCAAAGCGTTTTCAAACAGCTCAAAGCCGCACTGAACTTGGATAAGTAATTTGCATTATCTTAACCGTTATTCACAGTCAATTTTCATTATAAATAAAATGCAATATATTTTTTTAACATGACACGTCCTTTTGTAGAACCAGAATATACACGAACTTATATGCAACTGTGCAGTTACTCAACTTCTAACTGCACGACACTGAAGAAGAAAAAAAATAAAAACACTGACCATAGATTTAAATCGCCGTGACTGGGCCTGTTCTGCTGTCGCCATGCCTGCCGAGACTCGTCGTAGAGCTCTGCAACACATTTTTACATCATGCGCCACGATTTTACACCAGCAAACAACCAATTTATAAGGGGATCAAGGCCTCCCATTATACAAGAGAGGGTAGCATGACAAGGCGGCGACTACACATATTTAAAAATACGCAAATTGAAACAGAAAAATACCCAACAGATAAAGTGTTATTCTGAGTAAAAGTTAGTGTCGTCAAAACTTTTACAAGCCACAAAAGTTTGAGGCATTATCGATGTAGTGATGCCACATCTGCAATTTAACAAATACTTGTGAAGGTTATAAAAATGAATATACAGCTCCAAGTGTATTCAATATGTTCAATTGAGGAGTTTCTAACAGCACCAACGAGCGAATGCAGTACTTGACTTTTCGAAGGCTTTTGATAAATCAAGTCATAAATCATTACTTATAGAGCTCCGACAACCAAACTTTGATTGCAAGATCACTAGATGGATAAAATTCTTCCTAGTTGAGCACATGCAGTTACCAATTCGCGGTGGGAATAGTTCATCTCGTACTGCTCACTCAGTATGTCACCTAAGCCCACTTTTGTTCCTAATTTATGTTAATGATTTAGTTATTTGTGTTTCGTCTAACATAAATCTGTTTCTAGATGACTTATTTTCCACAAAATTAATAGCCGAAACGATGTCACCACTTTCACTACCCTGCACTGACTCAATGTTTGACGCATGCATGACTTGACAAACGAAATTGAATGCTACTGAATGTAAGGTTTTGCATATGTCCCAAATGTAATCCTCTTCTGCTAACTACTTACTTAACATTCTACTCTAACAAGCTACCACATACCATCATCTAGGCTTACACATTACATCTTGTTTAAGCTGGTCTCTGCATGTTCACTACATTACCACTAATGCAAATTGCATGCTTGGGTATATTCGCCAAAACTTCTCTGTGTTTGTCTCACTTCAACGACTAAAGTGCACATTACTAAGTTGCAGCGAGCTAGAATATGCCACTCCGAGTTAGGCTGATCAGAGTTGAGGGATCCGAGTTAAGCTAATCTAATAACTACTCTCCAATTCATACAAAATAACTCTGCTTAGTTTCACTATTTACAACCACATCCATTAAGCTAGCATTTTTGCCATGAAGAACTCACTTGAACTGCCGTCTCTTGCTTCTCGTCATATGCTTTTCCGCCAGTGTCTTATTTCCCTAATTATATTTCTTTATTCTAGCTATTTGTACCACACTCATTCCCCCCCCCCCCCTTCTTACATATGGACTAGAATCGATCATTCAAATAAAGTTGGTGTAATGTAATGTACAACCAAAACATGCAGTGATCTGTTTAACCCTACAACGTCTGTAAGACTGGAACCACGTTCCCGGACCTGTAGCCACCATCCCCAATCATCACTTCTTCCATTCTGCACCATGTAGTATTCTATAGCGAAGCCAACAAACTTACATGTTTTTTCCTACATAACCTCTGAACTTTCACTAACATTGTACGACATGTTTCTCCCCTCTCCCCAATAATGCCTTTCGGCCAAATGGTATTATGAAATAAGTGAATAAATAAATAAAGTTAAAACTCGACATGGACACCGTGAAGTGCTTCCGCTGCAGGCACCGAATGTGGCCGGTAAACTCGAGCTAGCTTCCGTCAGCACGTATTTTACCTCTGCCCATGCTGCGCTAGAAGCTTAGTCACACACAGTGGCAACCTGTTGTGCACAGTGTACCGAGAAAACTTGTGCAGCAGTACGATGATACCCGTTTTTTTTTTTTTTTTCACCACATCAACCTCACGAACCATATTAAATTATTATGCGACAAATTACACAACTAGAATTGCCCCCGCACAAGACAGTACTGCCAGAAAATTCAATTCTACCGCTTGTCGAACATGTGTTGTTTTGCGGCATGTATGACACTGTTTCGCACATAAAAAGGAGACTAAGCAAAAATAACTAGCGCCTCTTGAGGGTTACTAATTGGTAAATCGAGTGTTTTAAATCGGGGAGAGGCGCTTCCCCCCCCCCCCCCCCCTCTATACCTTGACGATCCCCCTTGGCAGGTTAGCTGTAGGACTGCCGCAACAGTTCGAATTGACGCCGCGCTACAGCTGACCTGCCGATGTGGGAGGCCTCAAAGAATACGGGGGGTTGGAGCGCCAGCTCCCCTGATTTTCAGCCCTCCATATACCATAAGGCCGTAAAGAGGTGCGAATTATTTTGTTCGGTCTCCTTTTTATGTATCTAGCCAACAGCAGCGTGCGAAACAGTGCCACACACAACGCAACGCAACACACGACCTGTCCCAGCGATACTTGCCTGTTGTATGCCACTCGACGGAAATATCGTTGGCAGATAGGCCGGGTTCGTTGCATGGGGGCTCCTTTTGTTCCCCAAGAAGTGCGCGCTGCATATCCGAATATCGCCCCACACGGGCTGCCACAGATGCCTCTCTGACCTGAAGGAAAGGAAATTACGTTTAACACGTTACGAAATTGATCATGCACATGCGCCGATTGGCGGCGTCCTGTTGTCCGGAACAGCTTGGCAGATAGCTGCACAGGACTGTTCATGCGCGTATTCTCGTTTGTTTCGCCACCACCCTTCGTTATATTAGTTAAGCTACAGTGTACGGCGCTTATCGACTAGCCGGTCGACATTCGTGCTTTCAGGTTAAACATGAGGTAAGCTGTACCACACCTGAACAAAAACAGCGGTCTGTTATTACCTTAATCGTTGCACAGCCCTGATCCACGTGCTTTCCGGTTGTCATCGTACTTTCTCCAAGGGAATCGGCAGAATTCCACCTTCGGCAGCTTTCCTGCGGTGTTTCTGTAACTACTCTCATGGCATCCTCCCGCACAATACACAGAAGATGCCCCTTTCGGCCGTTTTTCGCTTGGGCCCGCCACATAACACCTGGGCCACGACCTCCAAGAGGTCGTGACCTGGGCCCGCCATGAATTCTCATAAACAATACCATGCGCTAATGCATCCTTTACCGGTTTTCCTGGAGATGACGCCACTTGTCAATTTTTTTAGAGTTTCTCCCAAACTTTTGTGAAACCTATAATTTATTCCAATTATTTTAATACAGATAATACACAGTTAAACGTTTAGAGATGTGCGCCGAGGAGTCGGCGCGCCACCGCCAGCAATTTTTTGCCACACCGCCGACACGAACTAGTCGGCGCGTCGCCGCCGCTGACGTATTCTCTCGGCGCGTCATTTAAAGGGGTCGGAAAACATTTTCCAAAAATTTTAAACAAAAACATTCCAAGAAAACTTCCGCGAAGCTAGACAGCTCATCCTCAATAGCTTCAAGGTTGGCTTTATTAAAATAACGGAAGGACATTTATGAAGTGGCTGAGTTCCCTGGCGTTGCAGGTTGTGTCGACTACACACACGTGCGTATTAATAGCCCCGGTGGTGACGACACCTAAGAGTTCCGTAGCAGCAATGGCTATTTTTTTTTATAGATGATAGTCTTTCTGAGGACGTTCGACGCAAAAATTTTGGTCTGTCTGTCTGTCTGTACATTGGTCTGTATCTCCACCCTTAACGATTCAGAGTACTCTAATTAACGCCACCAGATACCCTAAACGGCCGACCCCATCCGCAGCGCCCACAAATGTTGCTCAAGCTTTAGCGTTCATACTTGTGCAATTGTCAATTGAAAAGCAATAATTGCGCATATCTGAGGCAACATAACAACACGTATATATTTTGTATGTGCGTCTCTTACTAGAAAAGGAGACATGAGTAATTTCAAGGACCGTAGTGTTTATGACCCTGCGCCGACCATACAGCACTTGCACGAAAAGGCGAGTGCTTCCAACGCTTTGCTAAGACAACACGGTGTTTTTTTAACATTGCACGTCCTTTTATAGAACCAGAATATACACGAACTTCAATGCAGCTGTGCAGTCCAGTAACTAAACTTATAATTGCATGACACTGAAGAAGAAAAAAATAAAGAAAACTGACCATATATTCAAATCGCCGTGACTGGGCCTTTTTGCTGTCACCATGCCTGCCGAGGCTTGTCGTAGAGCTCTGCAATACATTTTTACAGCATGCGCCACATTTTTACACCAGCACACAACCAATTTACAAGGGGATCAAGGCCTCCCATTATTCAAGAAAACCTACTCGTCGCCTTGAGTTTTACACCTCATCACTTCTGAAACGGGTCCACACGTTTGCCTCAGAGCCACGTGCTTTATTTTCCAAAAAAAAAAAATGCCAGAAAGCGCTCATGTTTCACTTGTGACACCGTGACTTGATGCGCTCGTTCGCCTCCGCTGCACGCTCGAGGCACTCTAACGCAGCGCCTCCAGAATACCATTCACCGATTTCCTTGCGCAGAACATGGAATAAATGTTTTGTTCACTCTCTCAACGCGAAAGACTATCTTCTTTCGTTGACAAATGCAGATGAACATGCAGATACGGGGCCATTTTTTTCCAAAACACGACGACATTTTCCGTCCCTTTCGGTACAAAATTGACTCGGCGCTGTGTCTGCGTGCCTCGTCTATCCTTTCGTCCCATTCAGGGCACTGTGCCTCGCTCAGAAAGGCATCGCTTGCAGCACATCGCTACGAAAAATTTCCCACACACACAAAAAAAAAAACGACGTGTCCCTCACGGGTTTCCTGATCATGTGCGTCCCCCTTCGCCATCACGCAGCGAGATATTGCTGCACCCCGTGAGACTAAATTCTGCTGAGGGCAGCGTCCAGACCCCCGCTTTTTCTCTTGTTTACCCAGCTGAACAAAAGGATATAAATATCGTTTGTTCACAGAACTTGTTTTTTTTTGTTTGTCTTTTTATCCGAAGCATTTCTTAGCGAACTTCGGCGACTTTGAGCGTATCTGTCGATCTATCTATCTAGCCGCCTACGACTTTTAGCTCTTCTGGCCGTTTAGAAAATGGTATATACCAAACTTGGTATGGCATAACATGACTGTATGAACAACATATTTGACCAGTCATAAAATGAAAATCATGACATGTATTTCATGAATGTCATGATTTACTTTTCATGGTCCTGCCCCTCTTGCGGGGGTTTCGTTCACAGGACATGTTACAAAACTGATATGGTATGGCGTGATTGCATAGCGAACACAAGCGACAGACCGTAACATGAAAATCATGACATGCGTGTCGTGTAACAATATGACTACATGCCACGCTCATGATTCACTCGTGGCCGTTTCGCTAGCGTCACATATACCAAATTTGGTATTACAGTACGTAAATGGATGATGGAGGTATTTGACTGGTGCAAACATGATAATCATGAGGTGCGTGTCATGTAACACCATGACTACATGCCACGCTCATTATGCGCTGGCGGCCGTTTCGCTGGCTTCACATGTACCAAACTCAGTATTACGCGACACGAACGGATGACATAGGTAAATGATACCAAACATGATAATCACGACAAATGTGTCATGCAATAACATGACTACATGCCACACTGATTATGAGCACGCAGCCGTTTTTTTACATGCCAAATTTGGTATTACGTGACGCCAATAGACGGCGATGGTATGTGTCGGGTGCAAACATGGTAATCATGATATGCGTGTCATGTGAGAACAATGACTACATGCCACAGTCAAGGCGCCAATACGTTTCGACGTGACGCGGTGCATGTGCTCACCGCCGTTCACTTCGTCACGTCACGCCGGCGTTGCCACGCCATGCGCCGGTCCTGCCATATACTCGCAGCTAGGCGCGCGCCACACTGCGTTGCTTTGACGCATGCACGTTTCAGCACGTCCGGCGTCCCTCCGTCACGAAAGGAGAGAGACGCACGTGTTGTCTGGGTAAAGCATCAGCGCGAAATGCAGCATGTCGCAATTCGCACCGGTGGTCACTGGGACCGCGTCGACGGACGCTGGTCGAGACTGGCGTCCGACTATAGAGTGCTCGCATTTTGCTCACGTAGCGTGCCCAGCGTGCGCGCGCGTCAACGCTGATTTGGAGTATATTAGGCCCTTCATAATGCGCTCGCGGCCATTTCGCTAGCTCCAGATATACCAAATTTGGTGTGAGGTGACGTCAATAGATGAGGAAATATATTAGTGGTGCAGACATGATTATCCTGACACATGCGCCATTTAAGAACATGACAAGATACCAGGCTCATAGCGTGCTCGCGGCCGTTTCGCTGGCTCCACATATACTAAATTTGGTATCACGTGACATGAATAGATATAGATAGAATAGGTAAACGACACATCCAAACATGATAATCATGACACGAAAGGCATAGCGGCATCATTTACCTCCACATCGTAACGTGGTGCTGATTTTAAAGTGACATATCAACATTTCTCATTCGTGCTTCGCATATCATCGATTCTCACCGTACGTAGGATCTGCCAATTGTTTTGTTATTTTTCATATTGTCACGTGCGTCGTCGTCACTAGAAGCCACAGAAGACGAGGATGCGGCAGACAAGGTTTATTAGTAAGGAGGCGTACTTGTGCCTCACGCTTAGGACACAAAAGGAAAACTAACAGGATCGGAGCGGCGTGCCTATGCACAGTTGCCGTTCCACCAAAAGAACAACCCACAGCTTATGCGCTGCCAGTTATTTAAGCGCTGAAAAGACAACACAGAACATGCGCACATCTATCATCAGATACTGCACTGTCTGATACGATGGGCCCATCGGAAGTTAATCGCAGTCCGCTCTAGCCTATCTAAATGACGCGACGGCTGTCGCTCTATAGTGGCAGCTGCGCAGAACGGCATGGCACGTGGCATTGCTCCCCCCTTCAAAAAACATCGCCTCGATGTTGAAAGCAAGCACTGAAGTCATGAGGCACTGAAGTTTTCACAAAAAAAATAGAGGAACAAACGCACATGTCTGCTAGCGCGCATAATAGGGTTTCAAACGCACAACGTGAACAATTTCGGACCGCACACGTCGACGCTGGGAGTCTGTCACACCATCCGGGACGATTTCATAGATCAGTGGCCCTACGCGACGAACAATTTTGTAAGGTCCAAAATAACACCGCAGAAGCTTTTCGCTGAGGCCTCGTCGGCGAACTGGTGCCCATAGCCAAACTTGTTCGCCGGGTGTGTATTCCTGATGGCGGTGTCGCAGGTTGTAGTGTCGGGCAACCGTCGCTTGCTTGGTTGCCGTTCGCAGTCGAGCCAGCTGCCTGGCCTCTTCAGCGCGTTGTTGAAATATCGCTACGTCCGGGTTCGGGTCGCCTTCGTTTAGGTGCGGCAACATTGCGTCCAGAGTCGTTGTCACTTCCCGTCCGTAAACAAGAGCGAATGGTGTCTGCCCGGTTCTCTCCTGGGTGGCCGTATTATATGCGAAGGTGACATATGGGAGCACTTCATCCCATGTTTTATGTTCGACATCGACGTACATCGACATCATGTCCGCCAGGGTCTTGTTGAGCCGTTCCTTGAGACCGCTAGTTTGCGGGTGGTATGCGGTAGTTCGGCGATGAGTGGTGTGGCTGTACCGCAAAATGGCTTGCATCAGTTCGCAACAGAAGGCTGCCCTCTGTCAGTGATAAGGACCTGAGGTGCACCGTGGCGCAGGACAATTTGGTGAACGAAGAAGCTGGCGGCTTCTTCAGCAGTGGCTCGAGCAAGGGCGCGGGTTTCTGCGTAGCGAGTCAGGTAATCTGTCGCCACAATGATCCACTTATTTCCTGCGGTAGACGTCGGGAAGGGTCCCAGAAAGTCCATTCCGATTTGTTCGAAGGGCCTTGTTGAGGGTTGAAGTGGCTGGAGTAGTCCAGCGGGTTTTGTTGAGGGTCTCTTGCGGCGTTGACACTCTCGGCACGTCCGTACGTAATGCTTGACGTCTTCTAGAATGCGCGGCCAGTAGTAACGCTCACGGATCCGCGAAAGCGTTCGTGTACACCCAAGATGCCCGGAGGTTGGTTCGTCATGTGACGCCTGCAAGATTTCCTCACGCA